TGCTACGGTCCGCAATAACTACTTTGCAGCAAAGTTACTGAAGTATGACGATTAAGTAAGATTAGTTGTGCTTAGGAGTGTGGGGTCTAATGAAGAACACTTATAAGCTACAAGAACAGATGTGGGGAACCTTTGGCCCTCCAGATGTTGCTGAACTACACGTCCCACCTTGGGCTGATGAGAGCTGCAGCAACATCTGGAGGACAAAAGGTTGCCCTGCCCAGCCCCAGCGGTTTTGCCTCCTCCACCACAACCACAGATACCACTGTGTGACCACAGTCTCTCCATGGGACTCCAATGACAACAAGTTCAGACAGCCACTTTTCTTAAAGCAGAAATAGTTCGCTACATTTATCGACTTCTGAAATGAATAAGGCATTTTCTAAACAAGAGGAAAAATTAAGCAGTGTTTTCTATTATTTTTATTTTTTAAAAACCCAGCATTCTAATACCTTTTAACACTTTTATTTAATTTTTGCCCTTATCATACTAAGATAGCTCCGTCAGCAGAGTCTGGGACTCAGAGTCATGGATTCAAGCCCCATATTGAGCAAAAGATTTCTACATTGCAAGTGTTGGTCTAGATGAGTCATCTTGGGTCCCTTCCAAGTCTACAACTCTGTGATTCCATGCAACATTCATAACTGAGGAAAAGAAATCACACAATCTAGTACGCTCACCTTCCATTTGCATCTACTCTCTGCGGCAAACATTCCTTACAATGCATAACAAATGGCCTCTTCCTATAAGCAGTGAGGATTTCAAAGGTTATAGCTAATACTTTAAATTGGGCCTGGAAACAGACTAGGAACCGGTGCCCTTTGTACTTTGGATGGAGAACTCAGCAGGAACAAAAGTCGTGGTTGCATTATTACTGCTCCTTTACATTGTTTAACAAAACAATGGGTGTGCATTTCATAGAAGGGCAAGGGTGTGTCCTACTCGCTAGGTCCATCCAACCATGACACCATAACTTTCCTGGCCTGGCCATCAATAGGTGTCCCATTTTAATCCTATTCAATGTCCCATGACCAAAATAAAACCAAGCAGCATCCTCACTGTCTCCATGACAGGATTGCCTGGCCCTGAGCAGGACTCGGAGGGTAAAAGGGACGCCATGCTCTCCTTTCAAGGGAACTAGTTGCTATTTTGCTGGCGTGGTGCCTGAAACGAAGACAAACACACACCCAGAGTTCATTGTGGTCTACCATGCCACTGTACATAAAAATATTGGCTTCAAATGACTTTCCATGACAGAGGCACAGCATATGCAGAAGGAGGCAGAGCCTCTTGGTTCAGTAAGCTTCAAAAAATATTATGGACTTCAATAAGTGCCCCAGGGGTGAGGAACCATTTTGAGCCCAATAGTGGGTCAACCTTTTGGGGGGAAGGAGAATAGATGCCAATGATGCATGGATCAAGAGACAAAATTGAGTGAAGGAACACAAGTGACACTTACTTTTTCAGAGGTTGCTACACATACTTTGACAAACCTAGACAGCATCTTAAAAAGCAGAGACAACACCTTGCTGACAAAGGTCCGTATAGTTAAAGCTATGGTTTTCCCACTAGTGATGTATGGAAGTGAGAGCTGGACCATAAAGAAGGCTGATCGCCAAAGAATTGATGCTTTTGAATTCTGGTGTTGGAGGAGACTCTTGAGAGTCCCATGGACTGCAAGAAGATCAAGCCTATCCATTCTTCAGGAAATCAGCCCTGAGTGCTCACTGGAAGTACACATCATGAAGATGAGGCTCCAATACTTTGGCCACCTCATGAGAAGAGAAGACTCCCTGGAAAAGACCCTGATGTTGGGAAAGATGGAGGGCACAAGGAGAAGGGGACAACAGAGGACAAGATGGTTGGACAGTGTTCTCGAAGCTACCAGCATGAGTTTGACCAAACTGTGGGAGGAAGTGGAAGACAGGAGTGCCTGGTGTGTGACCATGGGGTCATGAAGAGTCGGACACGACTAAACAACTAAACAACAACACACATACTTTCACATGCCGATCGGGCATCACCATGGTACGAAAGAGGCATTATCACAGGCCACAAAATACCCTGGCCAGGCAAAAGCACTTGAGGATGTTGGTGAGGCATGTGGCCTGGGGCAGGCTCAAGGGCCAGAAAGACAGGCCTGGAGGGGTTTGGGTTTTTTCCCCCGTAGGCTTGCGGGCTTGTTAGTTGACCTAATCTTTGAACACTCCCACTCACACAGGGGGGAAAACTCCACCAACACTGCTTTTCATGAAAAACATGCCAGTCTAGTTTTACAGAGCTTCCATTGAAAACCTTAAGGGCTTTCCCGCACACAAGGAGTCAAAGCATGCCCCACCAATCACTTTTCTCTTTCCCCACTTGACAGGCCCACAAATCCCCACAAATACAGATACTTCAGGGCCTATAATCCAGCCATGGGCCTAGATTAGGAACAGGGCAGTTTTGCTGCATGTGGTTATGCAGGAGATCTCTGCCTGTCCCTTGTACTAGATTTGTGCAACAGAAAGAGCCGACCGCCTCCATAAGGACATAAGCAGAGCCTGCAGGATCAGACCAGTGGCCCAACTAATCCAGCATCCTATTCTCACAGTGGCCAGCCTGATGCCTGTAGGAAGCCTGTAAGCAAAACCTGAGCACAATAGCACTCTCTCCCTTCCTGTGGCTTCCAGCAACTGGTATTCAGAAAATGGAGAGGGGGAGAGAGAATGGCAACATAAAAGGTTTCACGAATAAGGACACATTTTACAGGCTGGGGACTAGGAAGAGCAGATTTGGCACTGATGGTGTTTGGCAGATGCCAAGAGCACTCCTGTAGTGGCATGCCACTGCAAGGAAAGGGTTGACTCATATCACCACCTAGATTTTGCCTTAAGACTTCTGCCAGAGAGCCTCTGCTGAAGCAAAATTGACAAAGGGCTTACCCAGGCTTTCCTTGGGAGCCTTGTCAGTTTCATCTCTCACCACAATATTATACAGCACAAGGAACACACCACTTCCAAATGATTTAAAAACCAATTTAAAAGTGAGTGTTGCAACATGCCATGGCAAGGCAGGGGGTTGGGGGGAAACTGTGCCATTCGTAACTAGTCACATCACACCCAATAAGGGTTTAGTGAAACTTGCGTAACTATGCTCCATATAGCAATTTCAACAGAATTGAGTGGTCTACCTAGGGAGAAACATCCCATTTAACCTGGAACCAGACAAACTTGACCTCATGTTTATTACAAAAGGCACAGGATCCAAAGACTCCTGTGAGCACCCGAGTGCTGTCACAAACTCACAAAAACTTGTGCTTCTCTTTTTCCATCCACAGCTACTCAAACTGCATCAGGTGTCACTCCAGATAGTCCTCAAATCTGAAAGCGACTTTTGGGGCAGCATAGAGAGCTGGGAACTTCAGAAACCCAGTTTCATAGATTAATCTCACTTTGATTCCACCCACGTTCTGTTAGATGTTGCCTGTTAGAAGCGTAACTCCAAAAAAAAGGGAAAGAAGAAACACACTTCAAATGTTTTAAATTCTACTTCCTCTAAAGCAAACAAAAAATAACCCCAAACTTATTTACATAAGTATAAGCCTTTAATTATATTCCATGCCTTTGTTGTAACATGATTCAATGTGAATCATAACCAATAAGGTTAAAACAACCAGTGTGGAAGATCTTTGGGGGTAGTGTTGTAGTAAATAAGCTGCTAGCTAGCCAAAATTCCTGTACTACAACATTCCCTGGGCTATTTCAAAGACAATAAAGGTCTCCTTTTGTTTGTGTAATCACAATTTTTGAATAAAAACACTTCAGCTGCTTGGAATCAAGGTGGAGACATTTTATTACCAACATCTTCATTCTGTTTGGAAGCTCAAAGTTTTCATCAGTTGTTGACAAGCATTATTCATAAACTGAATAAAATCCACTAAGGAAACAAAGGGTGGTTGTTGCTTTTTTAAAAAGGAGAGAGACTAAATTACAGTAGTAATTATAAAGGCTTTGTAATACACAACTAAATTTCCTTATCTGAATGATAATGTTCACATAGTAGCAGAAACATAAAAGACAGTCAGTTTATAGTCTTCAATTTCATTTCTAAATGTTGATTCGCACTTCAGCAATGCTGGTATGGGAGAGGAATTATATGTCATTTGTCCAAACACACGGAAACAGCTACCCCGCCGCTATGATCAGCCAACCTCTCCAGTGTTAGCTGAAGATAGTTCCTCATTAGCTAGAAGATGTTTCTTTGATGAACATTTCTGATTAGCTGCTATGATGCACACACCCCACACATTTAAAGCACATCCTCTTCACCCAAGAAACCTGAGTGATGTAGTTTACCTTTCACTGAGCTACAATTCCCAACACCCTTAACAAGCCACCATTCCCAGGATTCAAAGGGGAGAGCGTTGCTCTAAATGTAGGCTGTGTACATGGGCTATGACACATCCCACATGACCAGCTTTTTTGGGGGGGGGAATTAGAGAAATAACAAATTGGGCGTTACAGAATGCAACCAGCAAAGCAGAAAACTGTGTTTAGTAAGTAGCTGGCAGCTCAGGGCAGGTGTGGTGACCCTCCAGATGCTGCTGGACTACAACTCTTATCCTCCCTGGCCATGGTCCATGCTTGCTAGGGCTGATTGGAACTGCAAATCAGCATCTCCAACTATCTGACCTTACAACAAAAACCCTGAAGTGGCTGTCCCTGAAGCTCTTATTGTTTGAGGATGTAGCCATACGAAAAAGTATGACTCTGACATAAGAAACTCAGGAAGCTGCCTTATATCAAGCCAGACCATGGACCTATTTAGCTCAGTATTATCAACACTGGCAGCAGCTCTCCAGGGATCCCAGAGGGAATCACCAGGAAACTCAACCCTCTGGCTATGCCAGAGATTGAGCATGGGACCTACTCACAGAAAGCATGTGCTGAACCCCTGAGCTATGGCACGTATTATAGAGAAACAGGCACCAAGTGGGAGAAAGAGAGAGAACCACTTACCCTCTCCAGAACTATTCCCAACAGTGCTCCAAGCAGGTGGAAAATCTCCATGAGCCATAGCTAGCATGACATCATGATCCAGGGCCTGAAAATCCTCCTCCGTTAAACCAAACCTGCTGAGAAGTGTCTGGTGACTGGAGGGAGTGAGGCAATCAGCTTGGCTCATCAGAAAACATGCTAACTCATAAGCTGTGTCCTGCTTGAAAGTGACAGATGCAAAGCCCAGAGTCACAAGTACGCCTTCTTTTGTGTACATGACTGCAGAGACAGAAACATTTTCTTGTTCTCCATGAGCTGGGGGAAAAAAAGTATAAGAAATATTAGCCATTAAACACTCAATGGTTTCAGGAGATAGACAAACAGATTCATTCCTACACACTGTCTTAAATAATGGAAAGTTAGACTTATCATGAACTTCTAAGCAGGAGAACAGGCAAGAAAGTTTTACCCATCCTCTGGTTGAAAGCAGGGCCAGCAAGTCTGATGTCCTTCCTGAAAAGGAGGCTCTTCCCATACTTAGGACATGACCTCGGCCATACAAACCACAACCACCACAACCACTCAGGGACCTAGATCCCCAAGGACCTCATTGTTCTCATTTCCCTCCAGGCCAAGAGAGAGAATAATGGGTGGTAGAGAGGGCCCACTTACAACCTCTTCATGGACCAGAAGGCCAATGTGTGTGGGGGGGTGGACTGCTCAAGTCACACAAGGCAGCTACAACTGAGGTGACAAAGGTTCCAGAGTCTCCCCAAATGGCAAGTTTTTACTAGTATGACAGGGATCTCTCCTGCAAGCCACAATTCCTTAACATCCTCCCTTTCCTGGGTCTATAACCAGACAGCTGCAGAAGTTGCAGAATCCTTGAAAACAAGGTCCCAGGGCAGAACATCATACAGGAAAGCCTTAACCCAGGGACAGGAGACTTGTTGCCCACCTACTAGTGCTGGAATACAACTCCCCTCATCTTTGGCCTTGCTGGCTGGGGCTGATGGGAATTGGGATCCACAACACCCAGAAGGACATCCCTGGGTTAGTCCATTCTCCAGTCAGAGGTGGAACAAGAAATTATAATGTCCCTTCTGTGGAAGTGGCTTCCCCCATATCCAGTTTTGTTTTGTTTGTTTTTTTGTCTTAGCCTTCAATGAGAACAGAGACTCTTTGTTGTTCTCGAACAGTGCTTAAAAGTGAAGTCAGTATTTTTATTTATTTTTATTTTGTTCATAAGGTTTTTGTCTCTCCTCCCCACCCAGTTTCTAACATTTCTAGCTAGCTGGAAAAGGGAAGTTTTCTGGATTTTTTACTGGGACCCAGATACAGAGGGCTCACTGCTGCAAGGTTCATGAAGGCCTCCTTGCTCATTCATTCTATAATTTTGTTTTCATACTGAGCAAGCACAAAACTTTGTACTCAGCACAAAGTCCCATCTTTTCATTTTTTAAAAAAACACAAGAAATGAATAAATCAAGTTTCTATCCTTTAAGACTATAACAATATGCTTTAGAGTATGAAGCCAATGCTTAGGGCAATGAGAGGCAGTGGAGAGAGCAAGCGGAACAGATTTTTCAGTGGTTTCAGGAACTGGGTCCTCAATGCCTCAATGCTTTCTTTTCTCCCAAAGATTAGCAGAAGCAGCATAGATTTTATAAGATTTGTAAACCCATTAACTGAGTTTGCAAAATGCATGCTACTCACATGACAGTTTGCATGATGCAAACTAAGTAAAGAGCAAGAAACTTCAAAACAAAACAAAAAATTCCTTCCAGTAGCACCTTAAAGGTAAAGGACCCCTGACCACTAGGTCCAGTCGTGACCGACTCTGGGGTTGCGGTGCTCATCTCACTTTATTGGCCGAGGGAACCTTAGAGACCAACTAAGTTTGTTATTGGTATGAGCTTTCGTGTGCATGCACACTTCTTCAGATACATGCACACAAAAGCTCATACCAATAGCAAACTTAGTTGGTCTCTAAGGTGCTACTGGAAGGAACATTTTTTTAAAATTTTGTTTCAACTACGGCAGACCAACACAGCTACCCACCTGTAAAAAGAAACTTCAGTTGCCTTGGCACAGTTTTTTTCCTCCTTTGAAATCAACGCGTACTAAGCCATGATTAAGAGAATTCTGTCAGGTATTTTGATTTCATGGATTAAAGCAGGCTATAGAAATATGTCTTGCTACGAGTGTGAGCAGTGCTTTTTTCTGGGGGGGATACAGGGGTACGCATACCCCTAAACATTTTGTGAATCTAAGTTTGGCCTCATTGAGGGGTAGTATTTCAATATGAATAGGAAAATGAGAGTATCCCTAAACATATTTTTTTTAGAAAAAAAGCACTGGGTGTGAGTGTGTAACCAAGAAGCATGCAGAGCACACAAAAAGTTGCAGTAGCGATGAGGATGCTTCACATAAAAACAAAAGCACCTTCCTCCTCTTTGCTCAGCAGCAGCAATTGCTGAAGAGCAAGCCAACCTGCTCCAGGCAATAGAAGGCTGTCTAGCCATCCAGATCAGAACTCTGCCTGCTTCTCAGCTCACCACCACTGCATGAGGCAAGTGAGGGCAGAGGAGCCTTTCCTATGATTGCTTCAGCCAGAAGTACAAGAGAGGACAACTGAAGCCAAAAACATTATTCGTGGCAGTTCTGCAGAGCTATTATATCCTAAGCAACATGTGTCACATACAAAGCCTACCTCTGAGTTGTTGTGAGGATACAGAGATGAGCCACGCATTCCCTTGGAGGGAATGATAAGATCAGTATTCATAGTAATAAATCATATACTAGAAGCAGTACTTATTATCAGTATTATTAATAACAACAGCAACCAGATTTGCCTGTTTGCCATACATTAACTGAGTGAAGTGGAGTTTGCCACAGTGACTTTGCTATGTGAGGAGAAGCCACAGCACCTCTTTTTTGTGTCAGCTCCCTCACTGCCTTAAGGCTTCTGCCACGATAAACATTAAAACATCAGAATTCACTGGCTATCCCTTGCAAGAACAAAAACACCAAGAAGACAGTCAGAATGTGTAGTGTAACTGCAAGACTCACCTGGGACAATAGATTCAAGGGACTTATCAGTAACGTGCTTGGCTAAAACCACATGTCTCTGGATTGAGCCACTGTAAACAAAGTAGAATTCAGCATCCTCCAGGAGATTTTTGTCAAATGTTCCATATATAGTGCTCTGTCCCTAGAAAATGAATGCAACTTTGTTGAGCTGTATCATAGAGTATAGGTCTGCCTTTCTTTCAAACCTACATCATGAAAATTATTCTTATGAAAAGTGTGGTCTATAAATATTTAAGTAAATACATAAATAAATAACCTATCAGTTCAAAGAAAAGGTAACATGTGTGAGGCGGCAATAATCTACTTTGAACTTCCACTGATATAATCGGAAATTTCGTTGTCCCCGAGAGGGGGTAATGACAATAAAGATATTATTATTATAAAACTCAAAACACTTGCATAAATCTTTCCTATTGAAATCAATGGGATTTCAGATAGATTATGCCCCCTCATAGGTAAACAATTTTTAATTCAGTTCAAACCAATTCCTAACACAAAGCAGAGGTTCAAAGCAGAGGTTTTTTTAAAAAAAAAAGTTAAACACATATAAACAAGAAAAAGCAATATGTTGGCTCACCTAGTACAATACCTTCAGCATATACATTTATATATAAAACATATTAGATTTATTCCAAATGATTTGATTAAAACCTAAACATTTTGTTGATAAAACTTGTGTTCGATGCTTTTATATTAACACTTCTAAATTTATGCTAGTTCTAACAGAGATCAACCCACACATCTTCTAAGCAACTGAAATTAACAAGTCAAGACAAGCCCTTCATGCAACAACAATAAAGCACAGTAAAAAGATTTATTTAAAAAAAGAAGTCAGAATACAACAGCAAAACATCTGGTATATTTTAGGGAGGAAATTCAGATGGAACTGTGTTTCCTTAAGGCTTAAGGGAAGAACTGCTTGCTTCACAAAGAGTTCCTGGTTGCTACAGTTACTTTTAATAAACCTCAGACAGAATTGTCCTGAAGTGACTGAAGCAGCTTGGTCAGGAAAACAAACTGCGTAAAGAGTTGACAAGGCGTTCACTGTTAAAAATAACATTTTAGCACATCCATCCCAAGACAGTTCTCCTGGGTAAGGGAAGGGGAATTTGTGGCTCTTCCATTGTTCTTGGGGCACAATGCCCACCATCCCGGACCATTAGCCAAGCAGGCTAAGGCTGATGGAGTTGGAGTGGCAACATCTAGAGGGTTGCAGGTTGCCCATGTGTGCTGTAGGTCAATGAACCAGAAAAGAGCTTTCATGAGAAACTTAAGGCAAAACACTAGCTTGCATCTCAATCCAACAAGATGCTACAGCAACACAATGAACTGAATGCACTGGTATTGCTATTGTGGCATCATGCCTGAGGCATAGGAAATAGATCCATCTTGTGATACACCCCAAATCTATAGTGAAATCTCTACTAGGGTCAACCAAAAAGTCACAAGCTATCAAGGAGAATGTTGAGCAAAATGAGGGAGAGGAAGGGAAAGAGCAAAAGTTGGCATGATGCTAAAGCAGTCTTAACATGGGAGGAGTTGGGTAGACTTAATCAGATTAGCCTCTGCTAGGTGATACCAAATTCTGGGCTGCACCGCCAGCTGCTGGAATAAACAATCTTGGTAGATCCCTCCATTTGGGGAGAATATTAAGCTTGGCAGGATCCATTTCCACCATTAATTAGAACTTATCATGTTGGATGTGTATCTGTACTACGTAATTGTGTTTTGAACATCCATGAAGTCCAAACCAACTCCTCAGGTCTCCTGATAACATCTGGTTAAAAATGCACCACATCACGTCACTGCATCCAGGGTTTCCAGGCCTCTTCCATGAAAACAGCATATCAAATAAATTGAAGCAACAACAAAAAACCTGTGAAGATGTCACATCTTGCTACCTTTAAAAGTTTACTAAAGAGATACAGGTGAGCAGCAGCCACAGATTCCTTGCAATATGTAGTTTGGGCCTGAGGCCATTGGGTAAAGTCATCAAAAACATGTGCAAAGTGCCACACCAAGGCAACACTCAGTTATAACTGCAGTTTTTATCCAAACTTGGTCATGCAATCTCATTTTCTATCTGTGTACGATTAGGGAATAGGATGCAAGTGCACTAATGGATAATGAATCAGACCCAACTCAGGAAATGATGACTATAAACTAGTGCAGAGGATACCAATAATGTAAGCCTTTCCTAGCACATATCTCAGATACGCATAACTAGAGTGATTCTTCATGCACACCATACCTGGATGTTAATCTGTGGAGGAGTGCTTTTTCACCATGGAAATTCAAAATATTCTGTGTGAGTGTGCACACGCGTGCATACAATTTGTGCAACTTAGCTTTCCCACACCAGTTTCCTGTTTCTTTGCAAGCCAAATGGCTACAGCTTTGGCACTATTTTTGTTTGAAAAACAGCTTTTTTCAACTTTCTAGTAAGAGAGCTATCAGGCAGCTGATTAGATTTGTCTATGTAACAGCATCATAAAACACACGCAAAGCTAATTCAGAGGCATCGGATACAATCACATGCCATGGTAAACCATAGTTACTATTTTCTGTTTACACCTTTCTTGACTGTTGATACAGTTTTCTTTTTGGGTTCTGGCTACTACAGTTGCTGAAATTCTATATCATAAGTATGACTATCTGAATTTTTTTTTTGTTTTTAAAGGGTTATATGTATATTATGAATCACTTTGAGATTCATAAACAAAAAGCAGTATGTAAGTTTTTAAAATAAACAAGTAGTGCCACTCTGAACACTACAGGACGCTTTGCCCAACGCTTCCTCAAACCTATAGTCAACCCTGGGCACCTCACTAATAAATTTAGGCAATACATTTCCCAAATGTCATCCCACAGTGGTACATGGTTAACTGGCATATGTAACTCAACTGCAGTTTTGTTTTGTTTTGTTTTGTTTTTTTTGCTAGTAAGTGCTCACAGGATAAACACCAAAGCACCACACGATCATTTCAAATATTAACACACACCCCCAAAAAAACCCACATGTGCAGGAAATTATAAAACAACAGGACAAAAATTAAGTAGCATTTTATATCAAAATTCCTACAAGTATCTCATGAATGCTGGCATCTGGCATCCAAACAGTAGTAATAAAAGACTTTCCTAATTAGAATGTATGTGTGTGATATGTGTGTGTGTTTGTTCCTGGCCTGGAGGTGACACCTAACTCCATTTGTGTCAGTCTGACACACCCTTGCACCTGGAATTAGCTTTTCCCTACATCTCCTTCATATCTGTGTTTATACACAGGAAAAGGCTTTTGAGGCTTACAGGGTGAGCAGAGCACATCCTGCCACTTTACGTAAGAGTACTGCAATTCTACTTCATGTACAGTGATACATCCCAACCTCATGCGCTCCAGATTTTTGGGACTACAACTCCCATCAGCCCCAGCAATTGTGGTCATTGTTCAGGGATGAAAGAAACTACAGACCAACGCTTCAGGCTGAGAGAGGCTGATCTAAATCATATTCAACTCCCTGTTCTTGCCATACCTGTTTTAACACCACCTGCACCTCCTGAGGTTGTTCTGTATTCCCCTCAGGACTTCTCTGGGCCAAAAGAAAGACTCCTACAAGTAACCATCCAAAGTAGCACCTTCTCTCACAGGAACCTGCCCATTTCCAGTCCTTCTGCCCTTGGAAGCCAGGTGGGTAATGAACCTTCTTGGTTGTGGTACCTTTTCGGCAGGAAATTCTATCCAGGGAGGCTCACCTGGCAATAACCCTCAGCGGCTTTTAAGGAACAGGAGACAACTATTTTATCTATTCTAGGCCAATAATCTAGCCCAGTATTGTCCACTCTGACTGGCAGCACCTCTTAGGGGGTCTCAGGCATTAAGAGCTACCTAATCTAACCCTTTTAACTGGAAATGCCAGGAACTGAACCCGGGACCTTGGCTAGCTTTTTCTGAAAAGGGGGCAGTAGGCCAAATAAATTGGGAACCGCTGGACTATATGATCTTCCGAGTCCCTTCCAATTCTACAATTTTATGATTCTATTATTCTGTTGTGTCTCAAGAGGTCCATTTAGATCTCTCTGGGTATACAAACCCAAATTCAACTGTGGGGAACCCCACTTTAAAAGGAAAGGAAAGGAAAAGTGGGTTCAGTATAGGCAGCCCTGTTGTTGTTGTTGTTGTTGTTGTTGTTGTTGTTGTTGTTGTCGTTAACTGAGTAAGTATACAGCCTACCCAAATTCCCAGGATGGCTTACACATTTCAAAACCAGAATAATCTATAAGAACACCACGTACCTACAGGACCGTCTCTCCTGGTATGCCCCGCGGAGGACCTTAAGGTCCACAAATGACAACATTTTGGAAGCCCCAAGTCACAAGGTAGTTAGGTTGGTCTCAACCAGGGCCTTTTCAGTACTGGCCCCGACTTGGTGGAACATTCTGTCACAAGAGACTAGGGCCCTGCGGGACTTGACATCTTTCCGCAGGGCCTGCAAAACAGAGCTGTTCCACCTGGCCTTTGGTTTGGACTCAGTCTGACCCTTATGTTTCCCTCCCCTTATGGTTTTGACTTTTAAAATGAGGCTGCATTTTAAATTGCATTTTAACCTGTATTTTAAATTGGAGTTTTTTTCTTCTTTTTGTTTTTCCCCCCTATTATATTTTTACTGACATTTTATTGGTGTTAGCTGCCCTGAGCCCGGCTCTGGCTGGGGAGGGCAGGGTATAGATAAAAATTATTATTATTATTATTATTATTATTATTATTATTATTATTATTATTAAAAACCTTCCAGCCAAGGAAAAACAGAGCAAATCAGATTAAAAGACCAGAGAAAACGAAAAGGGTTTTGTCTGGGGCTGAACCACACTGAAGTAGGCACCAGACGAGCTTCCCTATGAAGAGCATCCCACAACTGGGGCACCACCACTAAGAAGGCCCTTTCCCTGGTAAAGCACACCACCATGACCACATGTCTCAAAGAGCAAAACCCTGCATGGTCCAGTTTCTTTCTTTTGCTTATGATGAGATGTTGAAGCTCCGAAAGGAACAAAAAATAAATAGCAGCAGCAGGAAGTAGTAAGGCAGAGAGCGCCCTTTCTCCCTCCTCTTGCTTCTGCTTGGTC